ACACTATTAAAGTATTATACGGAGATTGTGAGACACCCTGTATATATACAGGGTACTCTAAAAAGATACGGCCAAAATTTAGGGAGATATTCCTCACACCGAAAGGATGAAAAAATGTTATATGAACATAGGTGCGGAAACGCTTTATTTCAGGAGTTATGTTGAAAATACTGTTGACTGTATTACTTACACAATAAACAATTTAGGATTAAACATTGTGGACGACAATCGTTTACCGCATTTGTGTACATAGCCATGGCTGTGATAAATTTGTACAATTACAATAAACCTTGTTTCACGCAAGATCTACAGAATTGAACTGAAATGTGATCACAATGTTATGCCGATTTCAAAGGTTGCGCATATTGTTATTCAGCCACTACTATTGTCTAAATGTAAACAAATAACTATAACGTTAAAGGTCAATATTTTTCTGATTTCTGCCTGTCAGATAAGGTCACTACCTCATCTAGCCGTAACGTCGCATACTCAGAAAAGAAGCTCTAACTTCTGAAAAAAACGTTTCCCCACCCATGTTCATATAACATTTTTTCATCCTTTAGGTGTGAGGAATATCTCCCTAAATTTTGGCCGTACCTTTTTAGAGTACCCTGTATATATACAGGGTGTCTCACAATCTCCGTATAATACTTTAATAGTGTATTCTAAAGATAAAATAGAGTCAAAAATTCTAATACAAAAATTTTGAGGCAGCGATAGTTTTTTGACACCCTAGGGTAAGATTATCGAAAACTAAATATTTTACGAGATATTTTATTTTTTATATCAAAATTTGTCAGATTAAAATATAAAATTACTCAAAAAGGACTTAATAAAAAATACTCTATTATAGCGTTTTGGAAAGCTCTCGACATAAGCTATAAGAATATGCAATAAAAAATAGGGGGTTCCATTTAAGAAATTAAAGGTGTCCTTGACTTGACCTTAACGATGCCATCCAAGGTCAAACCAATGACACCATCTTATGTTCCCCTCAAAACCATACAATTTTTGTTCAAAACGTTTTTCTCTAAAATGCTTAGTTTTAGAAAGAAAAGGGGTGTACAGATGGTCTAGGACACTCTGTATATATATATAGATACAGCGTGGCCCACGTAAAGTGTTACAAGCTAATAATTCTAAAAATATTTGTCAAATCAAAAAATTGTTTATGAGAAAGTTTTATGTTTTCGAGGGGCCTTTCTAACTACGTAAACATAAACTTGCCCCCGCTCCCCCTCTAAAGGGGGCGAGGGTAACTTTAAAATTTTGAATGGAATCCCCCATTTTTTATTGCACACTCTTATAGCTTATCTCGAGAGCTTTTCAAAACATTATAATAAAGTATTTTCTCATTAAGTACTTTTTGAGTTATTTTATATTACATACTGTATATATATACAGTATGTGTTATTATTTTCTAAATGTTATTATTTTTGTAGAAATAAAATGCACATTAAAACAATATTTTATTGTGCACAATAAAATTCGAACTGTCAAAATAATCTTCACGATGTGTGACAGCCGTTCATACTACGAAGCAAGTATAGTGATCAATGAGAAAATCAATCAGTGTCACGGAAAAGAAACTGCAATAGGTTCCAAGATTTTTTATTTTGATATAGTCGAGCATCGACTTAACATGCTTTTCTTATGAGTGGATTAATTAACGACTTCATCTTATATTCAAGAAATCGTCGTCATTTTGTCGTCATAGATATGACGTCAATGGTCTGTGACTTAGGACATTTTAACGTCACTTTCACGTTGTTTTAAAGATGAATTTGATGTAACCAGTGATTAAAAAATGACGTTATAATGACAATATCTTGCTACCTGGGTAGCTTACCGTTAATATTTATGCAATATTATTTATAATATATTCAGTTCTAATGTACTTATACATATAATATTAATCTAACGATGTTTACTAATAAGACATTTAATTTTAGTGGATATGAAGCAAATGAATTTTGTACCGAATTGAAGAATATAGATAAAATAAGATAGAAAAAATTATGTTCAACGCGAATAAAAAGATACAGAACAATTTGCTACAAAAATTTAGAAAGATATATGAAACAAACGGATTCTCTCTCTCACTAAATATATAAAATACTGATTGTAATTACAGTTTCTCCAAAAATTTCCGTTGAGGTTGTTGGTAATATAATATTGCTTAATTTTGAATTTAATGCAGCATCATATTGCTCGTAAATAATAAAAAAATTTATTTATGCAAAAATTCCTAGCTTAAATGAAATAAAAAGAATCTTTCATATCGTAATCATATCCTTGAATAGTAATAAATTGAATGGCAATATACTCAATCGCGTGGCAAGAGTTGAGTAGCGAATTGTTTAAAACTACCCCAGGACACGATGTACATCGCAGGGGCAGTTTCAAATAAGTAGTTTAAAAAGAAAGACGGTTATAGATATGAAGAGTTTCCCCGGGGATTTGTACCCATCTATATGGCATCTGTATTATGATGAAGGCAGAGAAGGGGTAACGCATTTCGCGGCACATTGAGTCCACAGACTTTAAAATAGCTCCGAAACCGAATCTCCGAATCGTATATCTGAAAAAAATCCGTTTCACGAAACGCACAGGGCATGACCCTTCTCTTACGTGGTCTTTCCATGTAATAGCTGTAATAATATCGTGAATTTAATATTCGATTTAATATTCGACATATTGAAAATATGTATATATAGAGGATATTGTGTCTTCTAAGCATGGTATCAATAAATTGAAAGTGTAAAGTTAACTATTGCTGTTATATTGCCAATGAATTAATTTTTAAAATCACAGTTTCCCAATAAATATAGAGAGAAAGAGAGGAGATTAATTTAAGTTTTTTTACTGAACAGTTTGACAAATGTGATGTACACACAGGAATATTAGCATTTTAATACATGAAGTTTATATTGTCTCTCTTATGCCAAAACCACAAATGTGCAATTTTTCAAATGTCATTTTCTTATCCAATTTTGGACAAAGATTCTATGCCAGAGACGCGAATGCGATAGAACAGTACATCGCGTCAAACTTGAGATATCAATTCACGAAAGTATTTACAAGAATAAAACAAGAATATGATTCTTCGGAACAAATTAAATTTTCACGTAACTTGCAATAACTCAGAACTACAAAATTGCAAGTGGTTTTGGCATAAAGATATACGTAAATGATATGTGCGTAAATTCATATGTTGAAGCACTAATAACTCCATGAATACATTTAACGTCAGAAATGCGCTTTTCTACATATAATTAAATCTTGATAATTTTAAAAATTATTACCAGATAAATTATTTAGTTAAACTTAATTATTTTTTTAATTTTTTTAACTGTGCCAATTATTTATATGATATAGAATATAAATACAATATTATATATATATAAATATAT